GCCAGAGTGGTAACCAGTATTCTTTGAATCAGTGAGGACATTCAGACAGGAGACAATCAGACAGCAGAAACACTGTGTCATCTTTAAATGTTGCAAGAACCAGCACAAAGCTAGATTTTACCACACAGTCCCAAAAGCAGTGCCGAGACCAATAGAGAAAAGTGACGGAGATGGAATTTTTAACCAAATGTGAGGGAGAACTTTCAAACGATTAAAGCTTTTCAAAAACTGGAACAGTCCCATGATGCGGAGAGCATCCTGTCACTGATATATTCACACAATGGTGACTTTCCACTTTTCTTGGCTGTGTAGAACTCTAGAGGGGACATGAGGTTCTCTGGGCTTTACGTCAGGTTTTGTGGAAAGCGTCCCACAGGACACAGAGGTTAGGTTGGGTGGCCTCAAATGACTGCATATAAGGTAACCAGAAATTCTTGCTCCTCAGATATTTTCTCCTATTACAAAGGTTAAAAATTTCCCGGGTCATATTCTGAATGGGCACCTGATCACATCAATAATGTTTCCAGTCCTTCTCTCCACTAGCAAGTCCCCTGCTCAGTGGCACCTGGGTGGCTTTCCCCCACTCCTCCTTGACCCCAAAGTCACACCCACACTCTTGCTAAAAGCGGTGGACTATATACACTTCATCATGTATAATGCAAAAAGGGAATCATTGATTTTGTTCTGATTAGTCATCATAATGCTTTTCTCTTCTATGTACTTAATCACCGTGGTTTCTCGGAGAATGGACAGCTTTCCTTTCTATAGAAGAATCTAAATAGCTCTCTAAACAGACACCAGCTGGGCAAACAGTGCAGAGAATTTCGGTGCAATGTGATGAGAACAACCACACCCACAGCCAAGGCCAAGAAGCCTCTCAACACAGCAGCCAAATTACAAAGAGCTGCAAAGGGGCTCTTTTTGATCTAACCGTAGGGTGCTTCCATTTCTTAAGAGAACCTTCCATCCAACTTTGTGGTTAGTCGCAAAGCCTGAAAATGATTAATGGACTGGAGCATCGGCCAGTGTTTCCCTTCCAGGACTAGAACAGACTGGAGCCCGAGCAGCACCGGTGCAAGCAGGAAATAATAAGACAGCTGGTGGCCTGGCAGCGAGCCACACTGAAAGGCTTCCCTGTAGACCTCATTGCTCTGCAGCCTCCCCTTCCCGCCCTGCCCCTTCTCCTTGTGCCTGTCTCCACAGAGGGATAAGGCCTTCCGTGTCCATGTCTAAGGGTTGCTGGGGAAGTGAGCAATTCTAAACACATGAAACACAGAAGTTGGCATCCAAGAAAGTGTGCTCTTCTCTACTCCAAAGGACAGTTCCCAGAAGTTAACAGGGCACAGACCCCACACCCCACCTACAGAATTGTTTGAGGCAGAATGAGATGGGGTGGGAAAAATGAATGATGAAACAATGAATTAATGACTTCTGTAAGAGTGCAGACTGTTAAAAAAAAAAAAAAACAGGTGGCAATCTCCCCTTAAGGAATGTTCTAGCAGGGAGAGGTAGGGACAGGTGTAAGAAGCATAGCAGCCCCCTCCTGTTCTAGGGGAACAGGAGAAAGGGGAACGTCTCTCTCCTTTGAAGACAGGGCTAGCCAGGGCCTCTTGCAAAGAGAGAGGTCTCTTGAGGCTGGCTGGAGCTGGGAACTGTATCTCCAGCTAATGCACCAGGGGACATGGCAGCTGATGGAAGGGACAAACAGGAGGAGGGTCTTTAATGACTGACCCGAGACACAGTCATCCTCCAGGGTAGGCCGAATGAACTCCTTGGGCACAGGACCACCCAGCTTCTTGCTCTGTTGGAAGAAGTATGAAGCCACATCTTCAATTTGTGTATCCTCATTAAGTGGAGTCAAGCCCTTTTGTATCCTCAGACTCTGTGGTTGCCTTGACTGGATAGCGTCCTTACATTGTGAATTTCCAAATTACCAGACACAAACACACTTTCATTTCTTTGCGATCTATCTTCATACAACCTAGAAACACTCGGTGGAGACTGAGCCGCATCCTGAAAGAGCACACTGCCCCAGGTTGTGCCGAGCTCAGGCTACGGAACTGGACCACATTAGGAAAGTTGGCTCCACCTGGTCTGGGTCTCTACATTGAACATTGTCCAGACTTTCAAATGCAAACTTTGGTGAAAAGCTATTAGACCCTGCCTGTGAACTGAAAACTAAATTATATGTATGTTCATTCGCCTCAGAGTTGACATGGGCATTAGTATGTCCACATCTAAGAACTGTCATCAACAAGATGTTAATGTGAACAGGGTAAGCCCCAGGGTACCACTAATAGAACTATGTGCTCCTCCTCTCTCTCCTTTGAAGACAGGAAAGGCTCAGCCTAAGCTAGGACAGTGTTCTGGAGAGACATGGGGAGGAAGAAAAGAAGGCAGGTGGAAGCTGAGCTACTGGTACAGAAAAGTGTATCTAAGCAGAGAGGGTGTCTGCCTGGAGCATGGGTGATGACTGTCCTATGCACACTGATGATGAAGGCAGCCTCCAGAATGAGCTCCTGCTCTCATGGGTGGGACTGTGGGCTCCGGCCTCACGGAACCCACTTCCCAGCTCCTCTCCATATTCTGCCCTCTTTCCCAACTTTATCTTCCTCTGGGAGCTTCCACTGAGAGGCAGCTGTGTTGAGGAGAGGTGTTGTAGCTCCTAGGGCCTGAGTCCCATCTCCAGATACAGGCTGGCGGCCTTTCTCTGCCCTGGGGTGAGGGCAAGACTTGCATGCCAGTTTTCACTTGCTCCACCCTGACAGCAGCCCCAGCACTCTGGACTGGATCTCTCCCCATGGTCTCTGCCCATCCTTTCCTGTGTTCTTGTTTCTGCAGGGCCTACATCCTACTAGGATGTCACTGTCTTTTTTTCAGGGACCTAACTCGGTGTCGTCTTATGAACTGCCCCAAGTTCCCTCTATATATTGATTACATACCTCCGTCAATTGTTTTGTTTTGTTTTGTTTTGTTTTGCAAAGCGTGGCTCTGCCTAAATTGATAAATGCTCACAGCCACTTTACTGAAGAACCCAGGGGAAACATAGAACTCCCTGGCTCTAGTCTCTGTCCTCCACACTCTGTGGCAAGCACATCCTCTGCCACAGGGTGCTCCCTGCGTGTCACAGGCAAGGAAACCCTGACAAGAGGTGTTTCTCATTGGGTTCCAAGCACATGGAATCATGAACACCGTGACACATCCAGGAGGACAAGTCAACAACAGCTGGTGATGAGATGTGAATTGGGGGAAGGATTCCTCAGTGACTCCTCAGCGATGAACTTGGATGACCAGGTAAATGGCAAACGAGGTGAGGAAGACCAAGCAGAAGGGGCATGGATGTGTATCCATGTTTAGATCTTCCCCCAAAGGTAACTGCTATCTGGAATGTTGCTCATCATCCCCTTGCTTTGTCATATATGCAGAGATGTGATGGTAAATGTTTAACAGCCACTCTCCCAAAATCAAATATCTGTGTGGGACCACATGCATATCCCTATATAAAATTCGTTAGACATTTTTCGATACAAAGGACATCTAGCACACAATTTACAAACAATGATAAAATACATAATATCCTTTATTGTAAATCTGTGCAGTTAATTGATTCATACAGAACTTTTTTGTTGAATTTTGTCACACTTTCATAATTGTAGCCAACCCATGGTTTCAGTAGAGGAACCAGTGAAGTTCCAGGATTAATGTTGGTAAATACTTTTGTTTATATTAACATGCAAAAAGAAAGTAAAATGACAAAAGTATATGGTAAAGAGTTACTTTCTCATCAATCACGTGAGCAACCTCTTTGTTGAATCAGACAATAGTTTTCAAATACTGGAAGACTATTTCCTCAATTCCTACGCTATTCACAATGTAATAGCCACAGACATGACCAACGTTTTAAGTTTAATCTGTTGATCAGTATTAACATCTTTTTATGTCCACATAAAAGCCCCAGTTTGTAGCATTAGCCAATCTCTTTCATTTAAGTTATAAACTTACCCCTTATGGCCTATTTCAAGCTACCAAGGTGATGCCACCGAACACAGAGTTTGAAAGAGATCATAGTAGTAATATCGACAGTATATAGGATTTTCACCATACAGATATAATAGATATAAATAACCTCAAAAACATAAATAATGGTAAAATTCAGTAAAATAACTAGGTGATGAGTTTAGCATATTCATTAACATTGTCTTTAGTATAATTCATTTCATTGTAAATTTATATAATTTAATTTGTAATGTTGGCTATGCTTAACGACTGGCTTGCAAAGTTTCTGAAAATTTAATTATTGGATCTCACAAGCCAGGTCAAGCCAGGTCTAACACATCATTGTATACAAATGAGATCATGCTATATGGGATCTTCAGGAAGCTGTCTTATCAGATATCCTGTTATTCTTGTCTTTGACCCCCAGCATCATCCCACCCCTTCTTTGTTCTCAGCTCTGACACAGGATGTCAAGGCCTGAGAACAACTCCCAGAATCCCTTGCCAACAGGGTTTCTATTCTATCATCAATGAGAGGTGGATGGAAGGACAAAGGCAAAGTTCGTCATCCTCAGGCAGTGATGGTATCAGAATCACATGGGCTCTGCATTAGCAATAGTGACTGCCTGCCACTTCTTGATCTGCAAGAAACACCTCCACTCTTGGGTTTTGCCTCTTCCTCATTTATTTTTATTATTATTTTTGTGGAACCTGATTTCCTGCATTCAACACTTCCTGCTAAAAATATAAAGAATGGTTTCTGGTTTTCTAATTATAAGACGGGATTTATCCATGTTCATGCAGGGAGCACAGTCCCACAATTTTCACTATGGTATAATATTCTACTCCAGGATAGTATAACATAGGATTCCCCACAATTGGGCTCCATTTATACCCTGCCTGCCCAGCCTTTGGTGCTTTGAATACAGCCAGTCCACCCAGATTATACTACCATGAGCAAAAAGACGCTGTTCCGGTGCTTCCACAAATGGCTTTCATGCTTACCCATTAGACTAGTCATTCCTTGTTCTTATCACCTCTGCAGTGCCTTCTGGAGATGATCCAGCAGGGTTTCCTAGTCCATCAACCTTGGCCTAACATACTCTTCTAGTGCTGAAGAAGAGTCTACTGGGAGTAGAGAGACTTGTTCCTATGGGTCAGTATAAGCGCACAGCTGCAGCATGAGAAAAAATAATATAACAAAAATGTAGTTCACTGTCTCACAGCAAATTAAGGTTAAATGTAAATTTATAATATTGTAACATAATTGGCAAAAGTCCACATATGTTCACTAGTTGATCAAATTCAGCCAGGACTTTTCTAGAATGTCCCCTGTCCTCACACAACCTGTGCTGAGATATGTACAGGAGGGAAGTTAATTTATTGTCAGGAAGAAAAGAGAAAACTTTTCTCCCATTGTCTGTGGGCTGAAGCCCTATTCACCCTTCAAAACCCAGTTCATATATCTCCTCCTCCATGAAGTCTTCTCAAACACTACCAATCTGAAATACCTTACTCTACATCCTCTGTGTCTTGTACATAATTCTTTATACCCTTGAGGGATGAGGTAATGTCTTCCCCCCAAAGAAGAGATTTGCTTGCCACTTATTGTTAAGAGCATTGGAATACCTGAGTTCTGTGTTCTTCAGCTGTGATGCAAACCCACTGCATGCTTAATATCCACCTAGGCACCTTCATGTTGCCCGGCAAGGCTTAGGGGATAAAGGAAATCCATGCCAACAGGATGCTCATTCCACTTGCTATACCATAAATAAAAAGTCCTTTGTCTCTGACCCAGGAGCCTTGTGCCTTTTGCTGGCATCCATGAAACAGTAACAGGCAAGTACTAGCTTGTAAGTAGAGCACAACCCCAGACCCTCCCGGACAGAGTCTGTGTCTTTTCATCCTTTGGAGCTCCAGAGTATAGCACAGGTCCTGATTAGTAGATGTTTGGAATTTAATCAAGTTGAATTGACTAAACCAAAGACAAGGAATCTTATAGCCCAGTGTTTCTCAACCTTGGTACTACTGACACTGGGGCTAGATTATTCTTTGTTGTGGGGTACTGTCCTGTGCATTATAGGATGTTTAGCAACATCCCTAGCCCCTACGCAGTTGATGCCACTTAACACCCACATTCCAATTGTGGCAACCAACAGTATCTCCAGATATTGCCAACTGTTCCCTGGGAAGGCAGTATCACTACCCCCAAGAACCACTGGAGTGGCCTATCCCAAGGATGCTGGTGACAGTTGGAAGAGCCAGGAAAAGGGCCATAATTAAATGATAATTTAGCATTAATCTGAAATTTTAACTCATTTGGGAAAGATATAAAACATTGCATAGTCTATTATATCTCATAAAACTGGGGAGGAAATATTGTACTTAACTGTCTTTTCATAGCTAACAGTAAACACAGCTGTTGTAAGCACCTGTGGCATAGGTGCCATGCAGGGCCCATCAGGTAGGTCACCTCATTTATACCCTCCAGCAATGCCGTGAAATAAGCATTTCACATTATAAGAAACTGGGGGACGGAGTAAGTGGCTCACCCAAGTGGAATAGTTTAGACTTGAATACAGAGCTATGAATCTCCAACACTCTTGCTCCTAATTATTAGCCTTGTGTTATGATCCCACAAAGAAAGGAGGTGTCAGCCTGTCATGCCTGGAAGTCATGAAATAGGAAATCAAAAATCTATCTTCAGAAAAAAAAAAATCAAACTCACATGTCAATACCAGTCTCTTAAGGGTTAAAAATAGATAACTCTTTAGATATTTTAAGTGGGCACATAAGTGCCAAAATCTGTAATAACATGTACTTTAATTCCTACATAAAATGCTAAAATACAGGCCCTCATATGTTGCTCTCTTTTCTGCATCCAAAAAAATGCTAACCATCCAATCCAGAAAGGAGAAAAGTGCCAAAACTTGTTTCAAGTCAAGGCCAACATGACTCTACTTCAGTGGAGTACCTTCTCCATCTGGTGGTGAGTTAAAGAATTGTTAAAGCGACCCAGTACTTGCCATGAATGCTCTGAATGAGTGCCCACCTCACTCCTGAGTCAGACACATAGTGATGCGCCAGACTGACTGCTGGTCAATATCAGATTTTGGAAATTTGGAGAACATAAAAATTACTAGTTACCTATGGAATTACAAAGCTGAGTAACTCCTAAAGAAAAACACGGTTTCAACTTTATTTTAAAGTTTCCCTGAGAAGATAACAAACTCAAACACCTCACATCTTTACATAAATTTTGTCCACTCCAATGGATTTGGTCCATGAAGATTATTCCCTACATTCTTAATGCTCAGAAATATTTTAAATCCACTGTTGTGTTTCATCTTGGAGGCAGAGAGAGACAGCAAGGAAGAAAGAGGGTAAGAGAAAGAATGAAGAGAGAGGAAATCTTATCCATATTCCAGAGGAACCAAAAACCATAATTCTATTAAAATATATACGGAGGAGGTTCTGGGGGACACAGTTATTTAAGCATCCAATTCTTGGTTTTCACTTGGGTTGAAATCTTAGGATCGTGGGATCAAGCCCCTCATCAGGCTCTACACTCAGCATGGAGTCTGCTTGAATGCTCTCTCCCTCCCACTCATGCTCCCTCTCCCTCTCTCTCTAAAATAAAAAAAAAAAATCTTTAAAAAAATATATATGTATATATAAACATACAGGGATATTGATAACTCATGTTGATAAAAAAACATCTCCAACTAGTTTGTTTCCAATATCATTATCTCATACCACCATTTCTCAAATCTTTAAACTGTTCTCTTTCTCTTTGCAGTAATATCACAGGAAAATCTATAATGCATTTTCATTAATCTGACAAATCTTTTATTGAGAACCTACTATATGCCAGGCATGGGGATATAACAGGGAACAGCTATGTCCTTTCCCCCAGGGGGCTTACACTCTAATGGGGGAACAGGCAATCCACAGACTCCATACCAAGTGTGAGGCACCATCTCATTTCATTTTCATAGCTCTGTGTAGTGGGTCTTATTATCCCTATCTCACACATGAGGAAACTGGGTCTCAGAAAGGTGGAGTGATTTACCCAAAGACTCAAAGAAGAAGAGGCAGGAGCAGGATTCAAAATCATATATCTTCTCCAAATCCCAGCCCTTAAGCCCCGTACCATCTGGCTACAAGTTTTCAACAGCAAAGCAGGCAGCATGCAGCACAAGCTGATATGTGTGGGGCACAATGCCAGGCCCTGGGAGGCATAGGGAGACTTGGCCCTGCCTCCAGGAACTGGAGCAGCATCTACCTGTAATGCTGCCAGGCCCAAGAACACACCCACCCATCCACTCACCAGCATTTGTGAACCATAACAAATTCCCCCAAACTTGACTCTAGCATTTTAGAGGGCAGATATTCTTAAAAATTATAATTAAAGTGAAATTCAACAAAAAGACTAACATCACAAGGATCATCAGTGGATCCTGTGACTTCCCCATAGAGTTGGAGGATTGTTAAGTTGGGACAATAGATTTCATGGGGCCTTACCCTCCCCCCACTTATTCAATGATGGAGGCCAGTTACTGGAATTTTCAGGTGGCCAAATAGAGATTGAAGTGGAGATCTTGCTTCTATAGAGTGTATTTTGAACGGCTCAGTGATGCAGAACATAGAATGAGGAATAAAAACTTACAAAGGACACTCCACTTGACCAGATGGAAAGTCTGTATATCATGTGCCTCCTGATATCCTAATTCGAGACTGCATCTAAAACCAGAGTTGACATCAGAGGAAAAACTCCATTGCAAAGCCCACTGCTAAGACCCATTACTCCTGGCCCTTTCTGGCAAATCTTTGTTTCCCAATTCCTGTCTAAGCCACACTGTTTGCTTGGCAAAAGCCAGGAGACATGAGAACCTCCTACAGCAAATGTTGATATAAAGAAAATGTCCTAAGTGACCAGTGGTATTTATCCAGGTATTATTTCTGCCACCTGTACCAAGTTTACCAAGTAGGTGGGTAGAGTCACTCTCTTGTGTGAGTTCAGCTTGAGTTGCCCAGATACCACTTCTTGGATTTAACAGAGAATATAAATCTAACTGTCCCCATCTTCACTTATACCATAAGGATCCCAAAGTAGGTCATTATCTGTGAACCACATGAATGAACCTTGTACATTTGAACCCTCTGTGTGGCTTGCCAAAGTGGCCCTCAGAAGTCAGAGGCAGCAAGCTTTACAATCAAGATGTTCTTGGGTCTTGTCAAACACAGCCAACACTCCAGAATTCTTCCCCTTGGCAGGCGTCCGTTTCTGCGTGCTCACTCCTACTTGCTGACAATACCAATGGGCAGGTCTCTGAGTTCTAATTCCCATTCTGCAGCCAAATTGCTGACTTCCATTAAAAACACCCTCATAAACTGCCATTTGTGGGCACAGCTGTCAGTGTCCATTCATCCCAGGATATACTTGGCTTCCACAGACCGGGGGGGGGGGGGGGGAGCAAGAAATTTAACAAAAATAAGCCCAGAAAAGGACACAATTATAAATATATATAGGAGCAAACTTTAAAGCTGTAGCTACTCCAGAATCATAGGCAAATCTTAGTATAAGATTTCTAAACATCATGGAAATTGTTAAGATTTCTCTCATGAAATCAACTTTTTTTTTTTCATTTGGCTCTATTTTCTTTTCATAGCACTTATCACAGTTGTCATTAATGAATCATCTGCATAATTTCTAATTTAACGTCATTCTTCCTGGTTATTCTGTAACTCCCTCAGGGAAGGACCCAAGACTGATTTGTTTGCGTTCCAGCTGCCCTGTGTATTGACTGGCACATAGCTCAAAAAAAGTCAACACTATCTTTGCAATAGTGCCATGATTTCATTATTTCAATGTATCACCTGTTTCAAAAACACTAGGCTTCCGGTCCTAGTTTTGTCACCATGCTATAGTTATCAAGATGGTACGGAGGTGACAGGTATATATGGGATTTCCCTGTATTTTTTTTTTGCAACTTCCTATGAATCGATGATTATTCAAAGTCTTCTATTTCACCTAAACAGTGAGACTTCCATTTTCCCTCATGTCCACACACCACATGATGCTCTTGGCTTGCTGGATTTCCCCAGTGTCTTCTCTGTCTTTTACCAGCTCTACTTCTAACAATCTGACTTCCTGTATCATAGGTCAGAAGCTCATCCTTTTTTCCCTTCCACCCTTGATAGAGCAGATCACTTTGTACAACAGTGACCCTCCTGAGACAGCCAGCCAAAATGCCAAGTATGAAGGCAATCTTCATACAATGTATCCCTCTGTCTTCTTCACAGGGACACCACCATGAGTTGTCACATGGCAGTAATTTTCAGCAAGAACTAGCTGGAATACCAAGGGTCAGGGAGAAATGTTACATTGAGGAGCCAATCATTCCCTCAAGATGGTTGGTTGGCAATAAAATCCAGAACATGCGTCTCCAGGTTCACATTCGATGAACCACACTCCAAAGTACTGTGTAACCACATCTGTGGCAGCCTCATATTACACAAAGAATCGGGCCAGCACCAGGCTGCCAAGAGCCTCAGAAAACTGCACAAAGTACATTAAAATCGACAGAAAGGCTGCCCATGTCACAATATTTGGATAACTTCCACCTCTCCCCCACAAAAGCCACCACTGGCTGAGGTTTGACACTACTGGCTTGAATCGCACAATCAGATTCAAACTTTTAAACAAACCACTGAACAGATATTAACTTCCCTGTAGGCCTGGGAATACAGTCCAGCCCTGCTGGACATAAAGAGAGATTCAGTCAGTAGGAGCAGAGTGGAATCAGGATTCCAGAGTGTTCTCAGAAAGTGAGTTTACCAGCAGCCCATACCATCCCCACACTCAGCCCACTCCTATGGTTCTTTGTCCTTCTAGTTGATGACCTCCTCCAGGGGAAAGAAATCCCCACTTTAACATTGACATCCGTCTCTGTAAGTCAGAACACAAGAGCTGCCTGGATTCCTGATACTTTCACTGGCTCCCAGCATTACCTGCAGTGGACTCTTTTGTAAACATGATGGTAAAAAGCAGAAATTCAAAGGGAAACAACACTGAGAGCCTCTCTAAACAGTGAAGCTGGGCTACCAGGAAAGAGAAAAAGAAATGAAAACTAATCTTCATTACCTCCTGGACAAAAGTGGCAGGAAGGGAGAGAGCCAAGAAAAGAGAAATGGTCTTCATTTAAAATGTTTTAATATAGCAGCATGATCAAGACTTATTTTCCCACTGCCAGGCAGTGGGTCCAGAGAGAGCCAAATGGCCCATTCTCCCACACACTTTTTAGCAGAAAAGTAATGGCCCTTTGTATAGCATTTATGAGTCAATAAGGTACTTTTGCATATGGAAACTCAAAGTGTCAGCAACCCTGAACGATTATACCTACTTCACAGATGACAAAACTAAGACTCATAGAAAGATAGTCAACTGGAAGTGGCAGAGAGAGGAGTATATGCTCAACAGAGACATGGAAGAAGCAGGTGAGAACCGCTATATTGTTCTTTGAGGAAAAGGAATAAAGCATAATCCCCACAGTTTATTTTTGCTTTTGCTTCCCTTGCCTTAGGAGACATATCTAGAAGAATGTTGCCACAGCCAATGTCAGAGAAAATATTGCCTTGTGCACTCTTCTAGGATTTTTGTGGTTTCATGTCTTTAATCCCTTCTGAATTTTATTTTTGTGTATAGTGCAAGAAAGTGGTCCATTTTCATTCTTTTGCATATTGCTGTCTAGTTTTTCTTGCATTGTTTTTTGAAGAGACTATCTTTCCCTCATCGTATATTCTTCCCTCCTTTGCCAAAGATTAGTTGACCATATCAACATGGGTTTATTTCTGGGCTCTTTGATTGATTCCATTGATCTATGTGTCTATTTTTGTGCAGTAATGGTACTGTTTTGGTTACTACATCTTTGTAGTATATCCTGAAATCTGGAATTGTGACACCTCCAGGTTTGTTCTTCATTCTCAAGATCATTTTGGTTATTTGGGATTTTTTGTGGCACGTAGAAATTTTAGTGTTAATTGTTCTAAGTTCTGGAAAATTGCTGTTGGCATTTTGATAGGGATTGTATTGAATCTGTAGATTGCATTGGATAGTATGGACATTTTAACAATATTGATTCTCCCAATCTGTGAGCAAGGAATATTTTTCCATTTGTTTGTATCATCTTTAGTTTCTCTCATCAGTGTTTCATAGTCTTCTGAGTACAGGTCTTCTACCTCCTTGGTTAAGTTTATTCCTAGGTATTTTATTCTTTTTGATGCAATCATAAGTGGAATTGTTTTTAAAATTTCTCTTTCTGCTACTTCATTAGTGCATAGAAAAGCTACCAATTTCTGAATATTAATTTTGATGTATAGCAAAGGAAACCACCAACATAACAAAAAGGCAACTTACTGAATAGGAGAAGATATTCACAAATTATATGTACAATAAGGAGTTAATTTCCAAAATATATAAGGAGCTTATAAAATTCAACACCAAACAAACAATCTGCTTATAAAATAGGCAGAGAAACTGAATAGACATTTTTCAAAGAAAGACATAGATAGCTAAGAGATACATAAAGAGATGTTCAAAATCACTAGTCATTGGGGAAATGCAAATCAAAGCCACAATGAGATATCACTTCATACATTTCAGAATGGCTAAAAACAAAGACAAGAAATAATAAGTATTGATCAGGATATGGAGAAAAAGGAATCCTGGTGCCCTGTTGGTGGGAATGTAAATTAGTACAACCATTGTGGGAAACAGTATGGAGGTTCCTCAAAATATTAAAAATGGAAATATCATATGATCCAACAATCTACTAGGTATCTACCCAAAGAAAGCAAAAACACAAATTCAAAATGATATATGCACCCCTGTGTTTATTGCAGTGTTATTTATAATAGCCAAAATATGGAAGCAACTAGGTATCCAACAATAAACATACAAATAAGGAAGATGTGGTGTGTATACACAAACACACACACTTGAAGGAATATTGCACAGCCATAAAAAAGGATGGGATCTTGTCATTTGTGACAACATGGATGGTCCTACAGGGTATTATGCTAAATGAAATAAATCAGACTGAGAAAGACAAGTAGCATATTATTTTACTCATATGTAGAATCTAAAAAAAATGAATAAACAAGCAAAAGGCAGAATCAGACCTACAAATACTGAAAACAAACTGATGGCTGCCAGAGGGAAGGGGATGGGAGGATGGGAGAAGTGGGTGAAGGGGAGTCAGAGGTACAGGCTCCCAGTTATAGGATGATAAGTCACAGGGATAAAAGGCTCGGCATAGAGAATATAAGCAATGGTATCCTAACAATGTTGCATGGTGACAGTCAATAATTACACTTGTAGTGTCTATATCGACTTATCAAATTACTGTATTCTATACTTGAAACTAATGCAACACTGTGTGTCAACACTCAAATGAAAATTTTTTTAAATAAAAAGTAAGAAAATAAAAAGAAAGCACAGTCCCAGGGATGTGAGGATTCCTGTCCATCTTTGTGGTGGGCCTAGGAAACTGCACTTCAGGGAGTTAACTTTTATTCTTATTCTGACAATTCAAAGAGAACAGTCCCTAAGCTAATAAATTATCATTTCAAAGGTGATTCGTAGAACATTATCTCTAAAAAGAAATCCACTCAGAAACATGAGATGAGAGAGCTGTAAACAAAGGGCTCCAGCTGTTAATTGAATCTGTCAGTGCCTCAAACGGGACAGCAGCTTAAGCTAAATATCAAAGGCGAGCAGCTCACCTTGAAGTCACTGTGCAATATGACCCCAGCGGCAGATGGAGTCACTGGATCTGAGAGGCCAGGCCCACTGTGGCAGCAAGAGGTCAGGTCCACGACTCAAACTCCTGACTGCTTCTGACTCTGTGACAAGGCAGGCCAAGCAAAGCCACCCTCTCTGGTGCTGCCAGAGGCTCTCCCAAAGGCTTCACAGAGTCCCTGCATTTTGAAGACAGACACACACTCACCTGATTTCCACAGGTAGCCTTGGAGGCAGAGCAGTGAGGAGGGGAGTGAATGGTGCTGACCAGCGCTCCGCCTGCATCCTTTCCTGTCGCTGCTGGGAAGAGAAGTGCTTGGCCTTGCTGCTGTGCCAATCCAACCCTCACCAGCACCCTGTGAATATATAAAGGTAAAAGCCTAGTGCCGTGACCCCTTGGGGAAATGAGATTGTGGTGAAACTCAACCTACTGTTGCATTTGGGATTCTTTGAGGAAGAAACCCTTTGCTTCATTTGGTGGAGCCACCTGCAGCCATGCGGTGTCTCTACAGGCCATTCCAGAGGTGGGCACCCTGCTCCGTTCAGTTGTGCTAAAGCAGGTTGAGGCTTCCCCAGTGCTGCACCCGCGTGGCTGCATTTTTCCTCCCGTTAGAGGATTCAGGAGCATCTATCTCATCCTGGGTGGACACTGAGCAGAACAGAGTGTGTGCTCCCCAAGTGTTAGCACCTGAAATAAATCATGAGGCTGAAAAGAAGGGACTGGAGCAAGACCCAATCCACCAGCCTAGTCCCAGGGAGATCCCACCAAGCTTCCATCACCTAAGTGCTTCTCACTGCTCCCCTTCCTGTTCAGTGCACCCCACACACAATCCTGGACCCCCACCATAAGGCCTAAGTGATCACAAAACCCCACTCTCACACACCGCAGCCCTCACACCCCAACCCTCACACACTCCCAGCCCTCCCACACCAGCCCTCCCACACCCCAGCCTTCACATACCCCAGCCCCACACCCGAACCCTCATACACTGCAACCCCCACACATCCCAGCCTTCACACACCCCAGCCCTCACACACCCCAGACTTCACATACCCTAGACCCATCAAAACCCCTTTTCTCTAGGGACTTCATGGAATGGCCTCCAGCATACACACAAGAACTGCAGCTACTTCTCAGCCTCAGGACATCATTCAGAGAGCCCCAGCATTTCCATTTCTGTCTCCCACCCTCTCTTAATGGACCATATACTTTTGAAAGCAAAATGCCTCCCACCTCTGCTGCCTCTACCATGTGAGCAAGGGCAGCTCCAGGTCTCAAGGACACAAAGCCCTACTCTCACCTTGGACAATGGAAGCAGGAAAAAACAAAAATTCCTGTAAATCATCCTGCACTATAAAGGTATAAAGGTTTTTGTGGAATAAAAGAAGGTGGGGGCACCTAAGTGGCTCAGTCAGTTAAGCATCTGACTCTTGCCTTTAGCTCAGCTTATGATCTCAAGGTTGTGGGATCCAGGGAATAGAGCCTGCTTAGGAATTTCTTTCTGCTCCTTCCCCCTCCCCATCTCTAAAAAAAATAAATAAATAATAAAGGTTTTTGCGTACTAACTCCAGCCTCTTTGGTCCTATTTTTATCACATTATTATTCACTTTGCATCCAAAAGGAGGACTAAAGTAGAAAAACACATTTGAAATATCCTAAGATTTTCCTGCTGTCTCTGGGGCATAGATGGTACAGAAAGCCTATGGAAAGAGCTTTTAGGGAAGGAAATGCGTTTGGAAACTGTTCTGTGGATTAGGTGGAAACAGGCTGTGCAAGTCTCATTCATGGCTGTATCCCCAAAAAAGACTGCAGGTATATTGTTGGTGCCTGACCAGTAACTATAAAATTAGTAAGTGAAGGAAAATTTAAAGTCAATGGGAAGTGAAGAGAGAGAATGGATGCCCCTTTAGTACCCATCTTCACCTTAAATCAGTAAGGATAAAAAGGCTGCTTAGCAGAGGGAGCTTCAGGGAAACCTGGAATCGAGCCCAGTAGCTGTTTGCTCCTGGCTCGTCATAAGAGGTTGGGCTGAGGTGAAATTCACAGGCAGAGGACTCTGGGTGCATTGGCCTGGTTCACGGAGCTTACCCAGCCTTCCTCTAAGCTGTGGCCAAAAGTAAGGACAACTTTAAAAGGACAAAAGTAATGAGAATTGCACAGGTGCTCATTAACCAGGAAGGGCAGTCCAGTCTTTCTGGATTCTCTTGACAATGGGATACCTGCTGGAACAATAACAGAAAGTTGCTGCAAAGGTCAACCTACCTGCTTTCCTGTTTCTGAGCTCTAGCCATCCCACCAGGTGAATTCACCACTCACTGTGCCGGTAGATAACCACTTCCAACTCAGGCAGTTCAAGAATCAGATGGTCAAAGTGGGAAAAAGAATGCTTTCCCACACCTTTTCAGGAAGACTGAGGAAAAAAAGTTTTTCTACTGACAACATACATGTATTGACTGATTGTGTATTGACTGATTTTACAAAGCCAATGAATAGGTACAGCCACAGATTTGGACAAGATTTGGACGCAAAACAAAATGACCCAGCTTCTGAGATCAGAGCTGCTTCTTATCAGGGCATTGAGGAACTCAAGTACCAATCAAGTTGATGATGAAGAAACCTGGCCAGACAAAAGACATGAACAGAAATCTCACAGAGGAACACATAGACATGGCCAACAAGCACATGAGAAAATGCTCTGCATCACTTGCCATCAGGGAAATACAAATCAAAACCACAATGAGATCCCACCTCACACCAGTGAGAATGGGGAAAATTAACAAGGCAGGAAACAACAAATGTTGGAGAGGATGTGGAGAAAAGGGAACCCTCCTGCACTGTTGGTGGGAATGTGAACTGATGCAGCCACTCTGGAAAACTGTGTGGAGGTTCCTCAAAGAGTTAAATATAGATCTGACCTATGCCCCAGCAATTGCACTGCTGGGGATTTACCTCAAAGATACAGATGCAGTGAAACGCCGGGACACCTGCCCCCCGATGTTTAGAGCAGCAATGTCCACAATAGCCAAACTGTGGAAGGAGCCTTGGTGTCCATCGAAAGATGACTGGATAGAGAAGACGTGGTCTATATATACAATGGAATATTCCTCAGCCATTAGAAACGACAAATACCCACCATTTGCTTCGACGTGGATGGAACTGGAGGGTATTATGCTGAGTGAAAAAAGTCAATCGGAGAAGGACAAATATTATATGGTCTCATTCATTTGGGGAATATAAAAAATAGTGAAAGGGAATAAAGGAGAAAGGAGAGAAAATGAGTGGGAAATATCAGTGAGGGTGACAGAACATGAGAGACTCCTAACTCTGGGAAATGAACAAGGGGTAGTGGAAGGGGAGGTGGGCGGGGGGTAAGGGTGACTGGGTGATGGGCACTGAGGGGGGCACTTGATGGGATGAGCACTGGGTGTTATTCTATATGTTGGCAAATTGAACACCAATAAAAAATAAATTTATATAAAAAATAAAAAGAAAAAAAGGAAAAAAAAAAAAGAAACCTGGTCAGAAACAGCAAAAAAGATGTTCTCATTTGTCTCTGTTAGATGGACCCTTTTCTGCAACCAATCTGCAGTTTTTGTCATTTGAACTAGTGCATTCAGTTATATCTCAAAAGAGCCCCACTCTGGATCCAGTGTACTTGAGCTTGATAAAGGAAGACTAGAACCCATCCTACCAAGAACCAAGAGATAATCTATAAGGAACACAAAGTTGTTGACTCATCTCACGTAGAAAGGGTCGCTCTCAGTTTATTTAAAACACTAGCGCAACTGTGGAAATAATTAAATGTAGTAAATATACTACTCCTCAGTTCAAACAGCCTCTTCACAGCAACTGAGACTAGTAAAATCTGTCTCTAAGGTTCATAAAGAAAAGAAAGGCATATCAGCATCAAGGTTTTGTGGTGAGCCAAGATGAAGTCTCCCTGGAGTTTGCTGGTTCTATCTCACCAAGCTACTTTCTCCCAACATGACTGTGGTTTGGTCTTCAAACAATCTGAAAGATAAGCAAATACCTTTCCTTCCAGCTTACATTTGACTGCCCTTGGTATCCAATGTGTTTCACGGATGCCAACAATACAGTAGAAAGCCACAATTCACTCACACTCAACCACAGAACTCTCATCTAGAATACACCAGAACTGGGGCAGAGGAACCCATCCAAAGAACAGAATCAAATTTGATTGAAAGGTGATGGAGTCTGCCTTTTTCAGCCACTGATCATTTTGAAGTGGGAAATGTGAAAGTTAGGGAAATCAGAGGGGTGATTCAAACCACTATAAAATCACAAATGATATCTTAGAACCAGAAACAAAAACTTTAGCATGGATTCACAGACTAAACACTACACTATCCAATTCAGTATCACTAGTGACATGTAGCTATTTAAATTTAATTTTCAACTAAATTAAAATGAAATAAAATTTAAAATTCAGCTCTTCAGTCACACTAACCACACATTTCAAGGGCTCAGTTGCCACATGTGGTTAGTGGCCACCATATTGACCAGCACAGATACAGAATACTTCCATCTTAGCAGAATGTTCTATTAGACAAAACAGGACTAAACACTAACAAAGAAAGAGGAAAGGGAGTTTAAAAAGAAAAAAAAGAATTATTTTCTAAAAAAAAGAATCAGAAACCTAAGTATCAACCATGTACCTATGTTAATGCTTCCTGAAGATGTACTCAAACACAATGAACACATAGATGACTCGATATGAGATTCTAGGACTGCATATACCAACGTTGTTCCATAAAAGGTAGTAATTGTATATGCACCATGGGTAATTAATTATTTTTGTGACTTTCATAAATAAACTGAGAGCAACTCTTCCAACAAAAGCTTGGTTGGTGGCCCCATGCTCATTTTGGTGATCTATTCTTCTGATTTCTAGTGGAACAAGTTTTGATCTTTCTAAAATGGAACAGAAAAACATCCCACTTCCCACTTTTAAAACATATATATTTACTGGCTACCTTCTTTACATAAATGCTCATCATTAGGGGTTTGTTTATTTGTTTTCAGGAATTTTCTTAGCAGAAGCTTTTGTTCCAAGACCATACCAACTTTGTTCTGGAGCAATAGTGATTGTTTTAGTAAAGGCTCTTTGCATAACAATAACAGAAATCAATATGTGCTACCTTAATGAGAAAAGGAAATATGTCAGATGGAGTCCAGAATACTTCATGGAGCCTGAGGATACTGAGGCTTCATGAAGGACTTCCACCAATTCTTTCTGCCTCACGTTTCTGCTTCCCTTTATCCAACTAGATAATTGTTCACTCTCTTTAGACCTTCATTCTCTGCTTCTCTTCTCACAGGGTAGAAGAGGGTCAG